GTGGTGTAGGTGATGGGGCTATCATTTCTTAAAAGAAGAGACCCGTGGCTTTCTTTTCAGAAAAGATGAGTGATGTTAGGCAGAAATGGAGTACCTATGAGCAAAAATTTTATGCAGTTGTGAGAGCTTTGAAGCAATTGAAACTCTACCTTGTACATAATGAGTTTGTGTTGTTCACTTATCTCCAAACCTTGAAGTTTATTTATAGTCAGAAATATCTTAGTTGGATATATGCTCGATGGGTGGCTTTTCTCCAGAAATTTTCTTTTGAGATTAAACATAAATCTAGAAGTACAAATAGAGTTGCAGATGTCTTGAGTCAAAAAGCTTCTTTATTGGTCACATTATCACAGGAAATTATTAGGTTTGATTACTTGAAAGAATTCTATGCAGATAATCCTGACTTTAAGGAGGTTTGGAGCAAGTGTATGAATCGATAATCAATGATGAATTTTTATATTAGTGATGGGTATTTGTTCAAAAGCAACCAGCTTTGTATTCTTATTTCATCTTTACGTGAAAAGTTTATTTGAGATCTACATGGTAGAGGTCTAAGTAGACACTTTGGTCATGACAAGATAATAACCAATTTGGAGGTTAGGTATTATTAGCCACAGTTGAAGTGAGATGTTGGAGTTATAGTCAGAAAATGTTATACTTGTCGGCGTTAAAGGGTCAAGTGCAAAATACCGGATTGTATATGCCACATCCTGTCCATCAAGGCATATGGCAAAATCTTGCTATGGATTTTGTTTTTTGGATTACCTCGTACTCAATAGGCATAGATTTTGTTTTTGTGGTTGTTAACAGGTTCTGCAAAATGGCTCATTTTATAGTTTGTCGGAAGACTTTAGATGCTTCGAGATTGCCAAACTTTTTCAAATAGGTTGTTAAATTGCATGGAGTTCCCAAGTCAATCACATTAGATCGGGATATAAAGTTTTTGGGGGCACTTTTAGTTTATATTATGAAAGTTGTTTGGAACCAATTTGAATCGAACCAACACTTTCCATCCTCAAACTGATGGACAAACCGAGGTCACTAACCGTACCCTTGGAAGTATACTTAGAAGTGTTTTAGAGATAAGTCTAGACAGTGGGATCTTGTACTGTCTCATGTAGAGTTTGTATACAACAGCGTAATTCATACGACTACAAGCAGGTCCTCATTTGCTATTGTGTATAAAGAGGTTTCTTACCATATGTTTGATTTATTGAAGTTGTCCAAAGTTATCAGTAAAAGTGTTGCTGCTAAACATCTAACAAAAGAGGTGTTAATAGTCTATGAAACAGATAGTCAAGAAGACTATTACAACATATAAGGCAACAGTAGATTCACATCGACATGATAGACAATTTTAGGAAGGAAATTTAGTAATGGTATTTCTGAGAAATGAGATATGTCCTATTAGTACTTATAACAAGCTAAAACTGAGAAAGTATCGGCCTTTCAAAGTACTTAAGTGAATTAACAACAATGTCTACATTATTGTTTTGTAAGCTTTTATGGGTATCGTTAGTACATTTAATGTTGCAGGCCTATATGAGTTCCATGAAGATTATAAGTCTCTTTATCCATATTATAACTCGAGGTTGAGTTCTTCGGAGTGATTGATGTAGAACAAATTGTTGAATGGATTGGAGAAGAATTGGATCGCAATGAAAAAAGGTAATAGTGTTGAGAGAGCATTCAAACTTCGATTTGGGCCAATAATACAATTCCAAAAAGAGAATGACGAAACGAGTAAAACTCATGGCTTTGTCGTAACATACGATGGATTTCGGTCATCTGAGTTCATTTAGGGCTTGAAAATTGCTTTTAAAGTTTTACTGCTATTTCTATCATTTAGCTTATTTTGGATCTTTTCAATTTTAATTTGTTTAAACTTTGTTTTCATTAATTTTAATCATTTTAAACTAAGTTTTTATGTAAACCTTATAAGTAAGATGTTATTTCGTTGTTTTAATAATCTTTTCATTAATAAAATTCGTGAGTTTATTTTCTTCATAATTTGATGGATTCCAAATTTCATATTCTTAAGATTTTTGTTTGAATTCCTTGTTTCGTGTTGTGTCACTAAGTAACTTTGCAAAATATTGTCAATTTTATCCCGCAAATGGACGAATCGTAACAAATAGTAAAGTGGCCCTTTTGAGTCCGAATTATCGTCCCCACGAGAACTAAACTTTAAAACTCAATTTATTATTTCTAACTTTTATTTAACGAAAATAAACGAGAACAATGATTAAAAGTAGTTTTTATTCTAACTACTTAAAAGTTCGTGAGTGCAATAGAAAATGAGTGAGAATTCAAATAATAAATGAGTATTAGGGCGGAACAACTTCACCTATTGGTCACATTTATTTCTAATATCGAGATTCATAAAATCTAAAGTAATGTTCGGTCGAATTCTTCTACGGTATTCAATTTACCCTCTCTCGAATTCTCATTCAGCCTATTTAAATAATTCACCTCCATATCTCTCTGCGAATCAACATTATTTAAACGAAATAACAATTCTAAGAATTCCTATATGACCGCAGTAATTAATATATGTATCTCTACACGTTCTATTAATTTACCGAATTTTAATATGTGGTCTAAACAAGAATCCACATCTATTCGTAATTATTGTTCACGAAATCATTGAATAATTGGCTAGAAAATTCAAAGCATTGAGAACGTGATTAAAACCCGCACATATAATCATAAAGAACAATACTCTCAAATAAAATATATAAAGAGTCTCAAATAGATTACATTGTTTGCCTTAACAAAGGATTTAACTACGCATAATGAAAGAAGATAAATAACAAATTGTCTTAGAGTAATTACTCGATTTAAAATTAAATATATAGTAGAAAAAGTAGATTTTGCACCAAGAATTCATTCCTCTTCCAATTGATGTTTCACACGATGAATTTGTCTTTGTTTTCTCCCTTTCAATCTCTCCTATTTTTCCAAAGATGTGTTTTTCGCCTCTTAATATGTGAAACCCCTTAAAGTGTGAAAATTTTCATATTTATAGGTTCCTTGCCATGTGGGAAGAATAGAGTTTCCATATGGACTCAAAAAGGGGCCGAAATTGTGCCCTAATGCCTCTGGGATGCGGCGTCACGCCGCAAACTCACTGGACTTCTCAGTGCCATGGCGCCACCGCCACTTTCCCGACAGGCAGCACCTCATTCAGTTTTTTTATCATAATATTCTCTCTCGATATCCGCAATTCAAGATGCATTGGAAAGCTAACTCATTCTCCAATTCGATCGTTTGCTATGTCAAAAAGGGGTCTCAATGTGGGCCTGAAATTTCGGAGCAAAACTTTTCGGTTCGAAATTGACTTGTGATCGTATTTTGCCTAAATTTGATCCCTTTGACATCTTTTTTTTTTTTTTATCAAATTGACTTCTAACGCTCTCGGATTTTCATGTTAGGTTTGACACAACTTTTGAATATCTGCACTTTAACCCCCTAACTTTGGATCTCATACAATTTAGCATTTTTCTCCAATTTTGCCCACTTTTGTTTCTTTCCTTTAAATCATTTTCCTTCATAAAATTTCACCTATTAAACATAAAATACAAAAATTTAGGATATAATTTGTCGAAAGAACCATCAAATATCGCTATTTAAGGTACCATATAAGTGTATAAATATTTTCACTAAAACTATTAGATTGTGATAGATTAGCGCTGCTCTCGGATATATGATGTGGTTCATTGCATACTTAGAGATAACAATATTGTAGTCGATTTTCTAGCCTCTTATACTTTATTCCCCAATATGTCATCATTAGTTGATTTTTAGTCATTTATTTATTTGATGGTGTGGTCGCGGCTATTTAGTTGAATAAAAAGTTACCATTTAGTGTTCCAAAAATAAAATTACCTCCTGATTAATGTCATTAACTATATATTAGACCTAAATTGGCTAAAGTTACCTCATTGAAACCATTCAATAATGGTGAGAAACACGTTCCCTCTCTCTCTTTGTTTACATGTGTGTGTACACATATATTTGTCAAAGAAATGTTTTCTTTTTATAAAGAAGCTTTAAATTCAACCTTATATTGTAGAATAATTTGATATTCACATCGTTCTAGTCAAATTTTCGAATACTAGCTAACAAAGATTACACCCATCTCTTAATTTTCTAGATTGCACACAAATACGTATTTAATTCTCATACATATATATATATATATATATATATATAGTTGTAAAAATGTTATGCTCCATAAAATAAAAATAATGGAAACTCACCAATTCCCGTAATCACAGTGTCACAATCACCTTTACCTCCCATGGATTCCTCGGTGACAAATCAAATATTAATCTAAAGGATCTTATTGCAACGCGTGTGACTGAGAATTAAAGAATCAATTCGTTATCTTCATCCATATTTAACTAATTGTATACTTGCATACCTACTTATAATCATCTAAAAAATAATTAAAGATATTCAACTTTTTTCGTTACAGTGCCAATTTTTTAGATGACTGACCATAAATGGGATTTTGGGGGCATCATCGCTTCCTCAACTGAAATTTTGATAAGTTTTAAAAATCTTTCTAAATTTAGGTGGTCCAATTAAGGTTTTAATAAATTTCATTAAAAATTATGAAAATCTAGGTGTTTCCAACTGAGATTTTAATGAAATCTACTAAAATTTAGGTGTTTTCAGTAACTCATGGATTTATATGAATTTCATTAGTAAAGGGATTTTAAAAGATTTGAATGAATTTCAAACTTCAAATTACGTATAAAATTCGTCACTTTTCTTTTGGATTTTTTCAAAATCTATTCAAGTCTACGAAATTAATTAAAATTTATAATCTTTCACAATCCATCAAAATCTCAATTGAAGACAGTTGGATCCTCGTAGTTTCTTGGTAAAACACTATACAAAGTTGTCTGTAAGTATTTGATCCCATCCCATCCCACCCCACGCCACCCCACCCCACAAGTGAGCATTTATATATCCTTCAGACCAAACCTATGCCAATAAAACTTTTTTTTCTTTCTTCTTCTTTCTCTTGGTGCTAGAGTGCCCAACAATCAATACCCTAACTCAATAATAGAAATCTAACAGGAAAAGCCGAGAAGTATAAAACTTTTAGATTTTTTGCACCCTTTTTATCCACCGTTGATCAGTTCTTGATTCCTGATCTCAATCTTGTTATTCTATAGGAGGAAAAAAAATGGTGGGTTCCTGTTCTTTTATTCACTTTTAGGCCTATTTCGCCCATTTCTTTATGTAGATTTTCTTAACTTTCTCGCACCATGTTTGGGGTTTCTTTTTTTGCAGGAAGTGGAAAACCAGTTGAGCACATGGGATGGCTATGTAGATTGGAAGAACAAGCCTGCCGTAAGAGGCAAACATGGTGGCATGCTTGCTGCTTCCTTTGTTTTGGGTAAAAACGAAAACAAGACCAATGATCACCCACCCCCGCCCCCATCCCATGTTATATATTTACACACACTGATATAATGTGGAAAAGGGCACCTAGAACTGTTGGAGGATTTTGCACGACCTCACTCAATAACCCAATTTATCATATTTATTCACTAGTAAACGCTGTAAAGTCAGTGTATTTGGACACAGTCACAAGAATCTTGTTTCTAAGTTTCAACCCTTTTCCACAGCTAAAAATGATACGGTAAATTAGATTTGATAATAACATAAAGAAGAAAAAGCAAAGTTAAGATCTTGTTCTTAGTATTGTCTAATTCTATGTCTCAACTCTTGAATCTTATATGCGATTTTCTTTTGAATATTATTTTGTGCAGTGGTGGAGGTGTTGGAGAATTTAGCATATTTGGCTAATGCCAGCAACTTGGTGCTATACCTGACGGAGTTCATGCATTTCTCCCCCACAGATTCTGCAAATTCTGTCACAAATTTTATGGGCACGGCCTTTCTTCTTGCTCTTCTTGGTGGCTTTTTGTCTGATGCTTTCTTCACTACTTATCACATCTATCTGATCAGTGCAGTAATTGAATTTCTGGTAAAAACCTCAATGCACTTTTAAGTCTTATCTAATATTGCGCACCAAGTATGCAGACGTAACAATTTTTGATAGATTTTTTATTTTAAATTTTTTTTTTTTGGTGGTTTTAGTCAGCAGTAGCAATAGCTGGAAAGCTACATTCAAAAGTAGGAAATGTGAATAATTTAGCAAGTAGTGATGCCTTTCACACTTTTTAAGATGCATACACCTCTTTCTTGGAGGAAAGTGACCCGTGAACTACTTGCACCTATAGAACATTTGGTATTAATTACTAGATATTTCAATGCATATAAACCTTGACTTAGTCCAAAAGAAAACGTTAAACGAGAATGTTATGTCCAAAATACTTTGAAAAGAAAAAAGGGGGGAAAATTAAGGATTTATATTAAAATACTTGTCTATTAAAAATCACGAAAATCGGGGTATTAAATAATTCTAAGATGAATTTTCCAGGCTGTGGTCAAGATTGTTGGGAACGCACCACCGGCCCAGTTGCTAGATTTGCAAGTAGATTACAATATTATATGCACACCGTTTTTGGAAGTCAAACATATGGCTTAATGTCAAAACACTTCCCTCTTTTAATGGCTAATAAGAAAACACCAACAACCAAAAATTAATGTTATGTCTCTATATTTGTAACGATCAAATTTAGTCCCTGTGTGACTAAAAGTGAGATTTTTAATAAATTCTGATAAAATTGATAAAATGTATTACTGAAAAGTTGATAAATTATATATGGCTAAAATTAGTTGTTGACTTTGACTATTGAAATTTTAAGCTGCACAAATATGGACTTATTTTTTCAATATCATGTATTAATACATAAACATAATTTTTGACGTCATGATTAATATATTGAGGTCGACAATCGCTATCAAGATATAATTTTAATTTTTAGTCTTAAACTCTTGAATTTTTTATGGGCCCATATTTTTGTGGGCCATGTTTGGACAAATGCAGACTTCATTTTCAATTTCCTAGCATTAATATTTTGTCTCTTATTCTAGGTTACTCGATAAGAACCAAGTTTCAACCAATAGGCTGCCACCACTAGTTGCCACATTTTGCATTGCCTTCGTACCATGCAATACTAAAAACACCCATAAAATGTGATAAAATATAAGATTTCAGTTCGTAGTATCGAAGAAAAATAAGTTAAAATCTTATTTATTATGTATTTATGTTGTTTGTTATTGTGTGCTAAATTTGTACGGAATTTTTTATCACGAAATAGGGACTGGTCATACTCACAGTGCAAGCACGCTCAGGCTCCTTAAAGCCACCAAAATGTAACCCAGCCACCCCCAACATACCATGCCAACAAGTTCATGGTGCAAAGGCTGCAATGCTATTTTTAGGGCTCTATCTAGTGGCACTAGGCCTCGGAGGCATTAAGGGGTCGTTACCTTCCCATGGGGCTGAGCAGTTCGACGAGAACACCCCTCGGGGAAGAAAGCAAAGATCAACTTTCTTCAACTATTTTGTGTTCTGCCTCTCTTGTGGTGCTCTATTTGCTGTGACCCTTGTGGTGTGGATTGAAGACAACAAGGGATGGGAATGGGGGTTTGGAATTTCCACATTGACAATATTGTTGTCAATTCCTATCTTCTTTGGAGGTTCAACATTTTACAGAAACAAAATACCTAATGGAAGCCCACTTACAACAATATTTAAGGTATGTCATTATAAAAAAGAATGTGACATGTTTGACTATTGTCATGTCCAGTCGAGTCGAACATAATTTACTTCATTGAACAGGTTCTGGTTGCTGCAATGCTAAATAGTTGCATGGCAAGAAGTCCAAGCAATGCAATAGAAAGTATGGCCACAAGCCCTTCCCCAACTCCACCCTCCAAACAAGAAGGGTCAATAGAAAATCATGACAAGGTTGAAGAAACATATGAATCTCCATCTCGAAGTCTCAAGTTCCTCAACAGAGCAGTCGTAAACATTCCAGCTTTCGATGCATTAAAATGCTCGGTACAGCAAGTCGAAGATGTCAAGATTGTGATCAGAATCCTACCCATCTTCATTTGCACCTTCATGCTCAATTGCTGTCTTGCTCAACTCTCCACGTTCTCCGTCCAACAAGCTGCTACCATGAATACGAAACTGGGCTCGTTAAAAGTCCCGCCAGCTTCACTCCCGGTTTTCCCGGTAATCTTCATCATGATCCTGGCACCACTATATGATCATTTAATAATTCCATTCGCACGAAGAGTAACAAAAAGTGAGACCGGCATAACGCACTTGCAGCGCATTGGAGTAGGTCTGGTTCTCTCCATAGTAGCCATGGCAGTAGCAGCCCTCGTTGAAATCAAGCGCAAGAGAGTAGCTGCTAACTCGGGTTTACACGACTCCACCAAACCATTGCCCATTTCGTTTTTCTGGATCGCGCTTCAATACTTGTTTCTTGGATCAGCTGATCTATTCACCCTAGCCGGCTTACTGGAATTTTTCTTCACAGAGGCACCAGTTAGCATGAGATCTTTGGCCACCTCTCTCTCTTGGGCATCATTGGCCATGGGATATTACCTTAGCACAGTAATCGTGTCAATAGTTAACAATGTTACAGGTGACTCGAAGCACAAGCCATGGCTTTCTGGTAGAAATTTAAATCACTATCACCTGGAGAGATTTTACTGGCTGATGTGCGCCCTAAGCACTTTGAATTTCTTGCACTATCTCTTCTGGGCTGTAAGATACAAGTATAGATCGAAAGGGTCTAACAAGTAAAATTGGGCGGTAGAAATGACCATATGAAGCTGCCGAATGATGCTATTTCTGTCACTTCACCGGGAATTCATTGTGTTTGTGAAATCCTTTCTGTAAATATGTCCATTTGCTGTCTAGCAAAAGGGTACTAGATCAGACTAGCATAAAGCAGGACATCACAGAATTTAGTTAAGTTTTTGCTTTGCAATATCATTTCGTCATATAATCAGACAGATATCAAATGATCTTATTGTTGTTCTAGTCAAAGTTAAACGCCACCATATCCATGAATCTTGATGGTTCATAAGTCGAGATTTTCATTTAAGGTTAAGATTAAAATAGAATGCTGAAGCTATTGAATTAAATATGAAGATGAGTAGCCTAGTGTAGAAGCGTGAGGAAAGTTATATAGTCATCTTAGAATCAAGAACTAGGAAAAAGCTATTTACAAAAAGTTCAATGTAGAATTTGATGTGTGACAATTAATCTGCTAGATTTGCCTTTCAATCTTACTGGTGAATGCGTCTAAGAGGTGCTGGTACCCATCGACAAGCTTCTCACTGCAACTTTGACAGCATTCACAACAAAGCTGAATCAATTCAGGGCCTGACCCATGTTTCTCTTGATTCTTTCAACTATCGTCTATCTGAACACCAAGTACGCTACCAACACATTTGTTCAGCACATGAGGCGACACGGAAATGATATATTAGATAAGAAAAAATCGGTTTACATGAAGTGGTTCAATGACATAAAGTTGTAATCAGCTTTCCACTTTGCCTAACGTCTCTAATGAACCATGCAGATTCATTCATTTCTTGATCCAAGACACAGGTATACATTTCGAGGATAGACTAGATTTCTTCTCAATTATTGCAATACTGACAATACGTATAATAAATGTAAAGCTTTGCGTGTATAAAATTACCTTCGCTGAAGCATTTCTGACAGGTGAAATAGGAAAAAATTCCAAAATGAAGTTCCATCTTTTCTGAGGGGGGGGGGGGGGGGGGGAAAAAAAACACAAACTATAAGTTCTGTTGTTATTGTTTTTGTATGTTGTCTGCGTGTACAGAAAAAGAAAAAAAAGGAAAAACTAAAAAAAAAAAAAAAAAATTTCTTCTCAATTTTATGATCCATTTTGTTATTTTTGCACTTGTGTATGTTAGATAGGGGGGGGGGAATAAAAAAAACCAACAACAATCAGCGACTAAGATTTGACGCTGAAGAATCAACAAGTTTTGATGTTCTCATGGCACCAACAGATGAATAATGAGTTACAACAAAGAGCAACACTTCTCAAAATCTCATTCAAAAGGTGCCGAGTGGATTTCATTCTAAGAATTCTTGTAGTTTAGGAGGATCCATCTACAAGAGAACTAGGAATGGAGAGCTTCCCCCCCCCCCCTAGCTCGACTCTTTGGTTTTAGGAACGCTAATTTTAAAAATGAGTGATTGCCTTTCTCCTTCTCCCTTAATCTTGCTTGATTCGTATATATTTCTCATTGCTTCTGTCGAATTTCATGGTCGATAACAAGAAAACGTTATATCATTAATCATATAAATCTCAAACTCGGACACTTCATTTCTTTCAATTATGTGGTTTTCGTTGGCCTCTAACCGAAATTCCCTCTTTCCCTACTATACTCCAGTTTGGTAGTTTTCACTACCTATCCAAGGCTGAGTCCTAAGATTTGACGGCAGACTTAATGAGCCATCTATAGACGCTTTACGCCCAATCATTCTGAATAACGCTTACATCTTCTATCTTACGACGGCTGTTAGCACAGAGTTAGTCCTAGATGATAAACATCTCTTTCTACATACATTCTTCCGATAAACTTGTTTCAGTATATTAGGACAGTTTAACGTGTTACTAGTGGCAACAATGACTTTTCTCTTCTTTGGTTCGCTAGTTTTTGCAAGTCTCATTATTCTCTAATTTTGCAATATGTCTAATACTTAGATCCTCGTAATAGGAGTAAATAATCCTGGAGGAGAAAGAGAATCCAATCTCTTGGTCAAACAAGTTTGAATAGTGTTGGAAATTTCAGCTCAAAAAACACAAACAAAATATGGTAAACCGAACACATAGTGCAAGAAAGTAACAAACACGGCAAAATGTTAACACAATTCGGCCGTAAATGGCTTAATCTGAAAGGATCAAGGTCAGCCCAATCCACTATGTGCGAACTACCTCCCAGAGAGAGTAAAATACAAAGAACCACTCAACACAAACAGTTTGTTCATCGACCCACAAAGGATCTCCAAACTGAATTCTTCTCTAACTATCAAAAATCGATCAACAACAGATAGCCAATATTTCAGGCCTATCAATTATTGTAGCAACACACCAGTTTACAAGAAAAACTCAGTGATTAACACACTTGAAAATTTTCAAATTCAAAACCAAGAAGAAAGAAGAAGACGACTCTTCGAATAAGATAGAAGAAAAAAACTAGAGAGTCAAAAGCCAGAAAACCTATAAGACTAACCCATCGTATTCTCTAGAAAACCAAGGGTTAATAAAGTCTTTGTAATACCTCGAACTTCACGTTATACATTTGGCCAATATGATTCATGCATTTCATGCTAATTACATTGTCATTTACATCAATTTCTTAATTACTTTCTCTTAAAATGGTGCATTCAATTATCGAGACTTTAAGATCTTTATATGGTAATAGTGTTCGACTCCTCGACCTAAGTGGTGAATTTTACATTGAGCTATAATAGAAAATTCGGTTAAATAAATGTTAGAGATTGGCTTGGTAAGTAATGGGAATATTGAAAAATTCTGAGTTAGTATCGACAAAGGTTCAAGCTTTCCATTTGGTATATCAACATCCCCTTAAACCCTAGATAGGTAATTGACATATTTGGGACATGAGGCATGAAATGACATGATCATGATGTAATAAAATATGTCTCATTTGATGTTATAAATATTGAGGTGCGAATTGTTGAGATCAATCGAGAATCGAATGTCAATCGGGTAAGTAATTAAATAAACGGTCGAGGAATTAGCTCTATAAAATATTTTGGGAACTTAGGGCAAGTAAATGGATTTTAAACATATCAAAATAAGTCAAGGATATTTGATTTGTACCTACAAGGATAGGTATAAAATCAGATTTTTACTACAAGTGACCATCTCACGCTTGGACACCTAATGCTTAGGATATTTGTCACTTTAACACCCAATTTCTTTAACATTAAGGTATCAATCTCATGTCCTACTCCCTAAGTATTTAATATAAGATGGATATATATCTTATAAGTCATTAATGGATCCAAATATAAGGGTAGAAAAGTCAAGTGTTGCTGCAAAGAAGCCACAACCTACTTGGACAGCTCATGCTTGAGGATACTTGTCCTTCAACTACAATTTTCTTCACTCTTAAGTATCACTCACGAACCCAATCCTTAAAACTTATTATATATATCTTAAATAGGACATTTAACCCTCCAGAGTTATCCCCAAGTGACACTAAGTTAAAGAGAGATCAAGTGAAGCAAAGAGAAATAGAACGAAACAAAAAGTTGAAATTCTGGACAGCTGAATTACTTTACTATTTAGAGGTTGGTATCCATTATTTTTTAGGGGTTTATAATCTCTTGAATATTTGAACTTGATTGTGATTAGGTTGTAGGGTTATTGATGATTTTATGATGGCAAAATAAGGGCAATTAATTACAAGAAATTGAAAGAATATCGAAAACTGTCCCAAGGAAAACAACCTAATTTGGTGCTGTGGAAAAAGGACGGTTTTGGAGGTTGAAAACACTTCGCTTATCACAAATTTATTACGTGATTACCTTCATATACATGTTATAGAAATATTTTAAAAATTTGGGAGTCATTGAGTATGGTTAAGGAGGTGAAAAATGATTGGAAAAATAGTTGGACGGTGATGGAAAATTGAAAAACAAATTCTGTCCATTTACGTGTTTAATGTAGTTTCAACCTTTACATGTCCATTGATCATCTCTTGGTCCAAGAAAATAGATAGTACTAGGCCATTGACAATAATTGCATTACGTCGACATTCATAAATGGACTCGAGAAATAGCGATATTTATGAGGCTAGTTTGTAATGACTCTGGTAACTTAAAATTATAATCTCGTCTAAATTGTTTTGGCATGCATGGACGTATTTTGGGATTGTGTGTGTTAAGGTTATTAAATGGAGGATTGTATTTAATATTATATGGTAATACAAGTGATTTTCCAACGTTGAGTGAAAAAGGAAATTGATATACACTCCGTAGGAGCCTACACGCACAAAGGCGAAAGGTAAGTAAAAATCCATTTCCAACTATGATGCAAGAACCTAGTATTGGTGATATGGTAATGTTGAAATATTCACATAGCTTTCATAAGAGACTTATTACACATCATATGATGGTTATGATCGTTGAGTATGAGGTTGCGAAATTTATTGACATCGATTTTCATTAAATGTCATTTATGAGTATTTTCATCTGCATGCACGATATGTGATCATGATTGAAAATCCTACATGGAAAACACGATTTCAAATTGAGTTTTCCTTATAAACGATTTATTGACCACTACTAGAGCACCGAGGTATGTGAGGCATGCTTATGTGATATGTTTTGGCATCGCGAGTGATACTTCCAAGGTGATTGCGAAGGTAGACAGGAGATGGGTCTTTGGTGATCATGGGAAGGTGGACCACTCGACTATACCCTTGTAATATTATAATTATTGGCGCTGTCGGTTGGGATACTTCTTGGGAGATCATAGAGGTAGTTAGGGAATGGGCCTCTAGTGGTCACAAGAGGATGGTCCACTTGTTGGTGTCGATTTCATATTGGCCATTGATTATTGATATTAATATTATGTAGAGCTCTATCCGGTGAATATTAGGTAGGTCAAGGGCCCAATGAAATGAAAACTTTCAAATGAAATGATTTCAGTTGACTTTGATGAATATCGGAATATGATGCATCTTTAGCGTAATGTTTAAAATGAATGACATTGTGTCATATATCATTGTTACTCATACTCATGGCATGCATGATTTTTGCTTATTAAGCATTAGCTTATGTTCTTGCATTGTAGATGAGCATGAAACTACGTAGAGATCATGGCTAGCTATGGAGCTCTTAAGGGATTCCAGAGTTTGATGTGCATGGATGATGACCTATAGGGTTATTTTGTGGGCTGTTATTTTTGAGCTTACATTGTATTATATTATATTTTAGAGATCCTATATTGTATAACTTTTGAAATGACCTGTAGATATGTTTATAACCTTAGAACATGTGTTGGATTATGGTTATATGATCTTTGATTTCGATATACTATATGATCGTCATAAGTGATTAGGAGTTAACAAACAGGGACATAATTATGAAGATGCTTGTTTCGTTTTATCAAGTGGAAAAAAAATGCATATGTGAAATTCTATGTCTAGGTCGAGTCATTAATTTCATCCCCACACAGGTTAATGTATGGTTACATTTGGGGTGTGACAGTATTGAAAGATCTCCACCGTCAATCAGATCCAACGGCTTACAAGTGGGCGAAAGAAACACAGATCTAAGTAATATTGTGACAGTCTTGCAAGATCTCCACAGTCCATCAAATTCAACGGCTTACAAGAGGGCAAAAGAAACACAGATCCAAGTAATAATGTTTAGACCAATCATAGCACCTCAACTAATACTCAACACAATTACAAAAATGACCCAATTTAAGGTACATTATAGGGAAACATGTTTTTTTCTTTAATCTTCACCTTAGTTCTCTAAAATGCACTTACTCTCTCAGTTGCAGAATTACACATTTATGGAAGGCTAATCATCATCATTGCCCAAGTAACTGCAAAAGAAAATTAACATGTATTAATGTTAAGAAGTGATAAATAATATCTGAATTTATTAACAGTTAGAATTTTAGTGCCTATATCAGCAGGTAAAAGTCAATATGAATTTTTTCTAGAACCATTTCACTTGTTGAGAATTTTTCCTTATGAAATGGTCAATATGTTTAAACCTTTCATGATAGACATGATTCTTGCTTAAGAGTAAAACACTTTGGCTATCTGTCAGTATAACTGGTGGTGCCTGCAGAAAATTTAGTTAACTTAAAATTCCTTTTAAATCATATGCATTCTTTTACACATTCTGTGATTGCCACGTATTCAGTTTCAGTGCTAGATAAAGTGACAGTGGATTGAAGTTGAGACTTCCAGGTGATACAATTATCACCTAGTGTAAAAAACAAATAGTAGTAACTTTTGTCCTTGTCTCTAGCGAAGTCAAAATTCACATACCCGTTAAGTATTAATGCATCTAACCCCCTTTAAACACTAATCCTACACTTAGTGTCCCTGTTATATATCTTAACAATCACTTTAACCCAGTCCATTGTGGTATCCCAAGATTGGCCGTGAACCTACTCAAAAAACTAATAGAATAAGCTAAATCAAGACGAGTTGTGATCATGGAGAACATAACAGATCTTATGGCATTAACATATGGTATATTTCTCATATCATTGATTGCATATTCAATTTTAAGACATTGGGTTGAAGAGAGGTTCATGTGAGCGGCAAGTGGCACATTAACAAACTTAGCTTCTTTCATGTTAAATTTTGTTCTCATTCTGTGCAGGTAAGATTCTTGCGTTATTATTAGCATATCTTTCTGTCTATATCTATTTATCACCATTCCCAGAATTTTCTTGGTAATTTCCTAAGTCTTTCATATTAAATTTAGATTTTAAGAGGTTTTTGAGCCTCATTATCTCAGTTTTACTGGGGTTGGCTGGAAGCATATCATCTACATATAGGAGTAGATATATCTCACTGCTAGTTTTAGAGTTATTGTAATATAAGCAATGGTCATTTTCACTTATTCTAAAACCAATTTTCAAAACATATGTTCCATACAGGTATTTTTGCAATTTACAAACAAAATCAGATTTTCCTTTTTGCTCGAAACCTTGAGGTTGACACATATAAATGTCATCTTCCAATTTTCCATGTATAAAGGCAGTCTTAACATCTAATTGTCCAAGTTTCCAATTGAATTGAACAACAAGAGCAAGTATAAGTCTTATTGTTTTATATTTGATTACAGATGAAAATATTTCATTACAATCAATTCTCTCCCTTTGAGTGAACCCTTTGGCTACAAGCCTTACCTTATACCTCAAAGGGTCAATAGGCGAGATCCATTTTTTAAGCTTATATAACTACTTACATTGAACCAATATTTGATCCTTTGGTTTCTTTACAAGTTTCCATATTTTGTTTTCAATAAGGAATTTCATTTCTTCTCTCATAGCTTCTTTCCAATTTTGGGACTTAGAACTGTTCATAGCTTCTTCATAAGATACAGGTTCAGCATGTTCTAAGTTCTTGCCAATGATTAGGGCAAAGTCTGTCAGATTATTTGTTTCATACCTAGTGTTAGATTTAATCTGTCTCATTTTCCTATCTCTCACTAATTGATAGTCTTGAGTACTAGTTTCACTTACAGGATTATTAGGTGCCACAGTTTCTGTTTCAATTTTAGTTTGGAATGGTATAGCTTCACCTTCATTTGTGTTATCTATACTTTCACTAGGTTGGCTATTTTCAAACTCAGTTATTTTAGGTTGATTATGACTTAATTACGTCAACTTCACCTCATCCTGCGAAGTACCCTTTCCAGCAAGGTCTTGTTTGTCAATTTCATTTTTTAGGCATGGCATTTCAAACTCATTAAACATTACATTTCTGCTGTTGATAATCTTAATACCTTGAACACCTAGTACTTACAATATGTACCCTTTAACCCCTTCGGATTATCCAAGCATAACACACTTGGCAGCCCTGGAGTCTAATTTTCCTTCAGCTTGATGTGCATGTGCAGCATATCTAAAGACTATGTGTGATAGATTAGGTGGTTTTCCAGTCCACAGTTTCTGTGAAGTTTTAAACTCTACAGAACTACAAGGTGACTTATTTATTAGATAGGCTACAGTGCATAAAGCTTCTGCCCGTAATCATTTTGCTAACCTGAAATTGATTAGCATACATCTTACTTTATTCATGAGGGTTCTATTCATTCTCTCAGCAACCCCATTTTGTTGGGATGTATGCTTAACAATCCTATGTCTGATTATCTCCTTCTGTTTGCAAAAGTTATCAAATTGAGCGTTACAGAATTCTAATCTATTATCTGTCCTTAAGGTTTTCAGTTTCTTGTCCAATTGATTCTCAACCATCTTTAGCCACATTCTTAATTTTTGAAAAGTTTCAGATTTGGATTTTAAAGAGTAGGTCCAGACCTTTCTAGAATAGTCACCAATTATAGAAAAAAAGTATTTGTTCCCACCAAAGGTTGGGTGAATTTCTGGACCCTATAAATCTGTATGAACATAGTCCAATGGTCGATTTGTTGTGTGTGATCATGTCTCAAAGTTAACTCTATGAGACTTCCCTAGCACACATGTTTCACAAAAGTCAAAGGGCTCAACTTTATCTTTTCCAAATAGTTTCTGGTCGTTTAGACACTTTAGGCCCTTGTTACCGATGTGACCCATCCTACAACATCATAGTTCAGATTTCAATTAAAGATTTTGAATCTTGGGGATTAACAGTTTATCCCATTAGATAGTACAAACCATTCATCTTTGGTCCCTTCACATCTAAAAAAGATCATTTCAAGATTTTCAAAGTATTATTTTCAGATTTGAATGTATATCTCTCATCTTCAAGAATTTCCAATGAAATGACAATGTCATCATGCATTTTGATTGTAATGCCACCAATTCCAAGAACATTATGTGAGTTGTTATCACTCACATATACCTTTTTGGATTTTATCTCCTTGTAGTTATGAAACCAAGATTTATTTGGAACACATATGAAAAGTACATCCAGAGTCTAATATCTTGTTGGTGTCTATTTCTTCATTAGTCACAATCATGACTAGAAGACTGTCAAGTTTAGAACTCACAATAGCATCGTTTAACTCAATGTTGTTATTTTCTTTTAGCTTCTTTTTCAATTCAAAGCAATCTCTTTTGAAATGTTCAAGTTTTCCATAGTGATAGCACTTTTTGTTATTTTTATCTCTTGATTTAGATCTTACTTTGGATTTAGATTTGAATCTTTTATTCTGTGAATAGTCCTCCTTCTTTTTCAGTTCTTCTTCTCACAAACTAGCTCTCTTCTCTTAATTAGTTCTTAATTCTTTCTTAATCTCCAATTTCCTAGCTCGTAAGGCATTTGTTACAATTGTTTGCATTAGGGCATCTCTTTAGTATTCTGTAGCATTTCGAATATCCTTATAAGATTCAGGTAAAGAGTTTATGAGGATCACTGCAAGATCCTCATCTTTGAACTTTTTGTCATTATGAGCAAGGCTCTTAATAGGTATGCTAAAATCACTCAAATTAGCCTCTAAGTCTTTCCCAGCATCCATTTTAACATTGAACAGTTTTTCCACGACATAAATTTTATTTGGTAAAATCTTGGTCAAGAACAAATTATCTAAGGTTGTACATAGGTCTCTTGCAGTTTTGTAATCTTCTACTTGCCTTACAATAATATCAGACAGATGCAAGTTAATTGAACTATAGGCAATTTCAACCATTTCATCAGGCTTGGCTTTAAGTTTAGCAAGATATGTGTTCGGATCATCCAGGGCTTTAACAACTCTTTGTTGGATCAATATGACCCTCATTTTCTGCTTTCAAATCGAGTAATCCTCATTTCCATCGAATTGTGACAATTCGACCTTCAAACCCATCACGAGTTCCATAAAAGGGTGGCTACGACTCGTGGACATAAGTGATATCCCAATGTGTGATCACGTAAGTGCAGAAAAAAAGGTTCCCAACAAATTTAAAGAAAAGCTTATAACAGAATAAAATCAACTACTCTAGAATGCACAGTCTAAGATAGTAAAGTCAGGCAATCAGGATGTTGTTAATACAAGATTTCACAACAAGTATAAAGGGTTTTGAATATCAAATCCTACACATGCTTCTATGTCTGATTAATCAATAATACATAGTACTCAATTCTAATTAATTAATCCACAATTCAATGAGCATGTAAATAAGCAACTAGGATTATCAAGAAAGAGTGTAAAGAACGGTCTCACCCAGCATTGTTGAAAAATAGTGCTACCAATTCATAAAAGATACTCTTTCACTTGCTAAGTTCTGTCTAAGAAAACCAACCAAGAAAAAAGAAACGAGAAAAGTCACTTTACTTTCACACTTAAAAGAGATGTTAGAAAACTCAAACTATCTGTTTAGATCTTTGCAGATCTGAACAGAGTGCTATACAAAAAATATTTTTAAAAAAAGATCAAGAGCTTCAAAAAAGAAAAACTGAAATCTTACAAATCTTTTACCAACTCAAAAAAAATTATCCTTAAGAAAAATGAGTTTACCCAAAAGCCTCAAGAACTAGCTCTGATTCTAGAATTTGTTAGGAATTTCGGTCCAAAAAACACAAACAAAATACAGTAAACCAAACACAAAATGCAAGAAAGTAACGAACACGACAAAATGTTCACCCAGTTCGACCGTAAATGGCTTAATCTGAGGGCTTAAGATTAACCCAGTCTACTATGTGCAAACTGCATCGCAGAGAGAGTAAAATATAAAAAACCACTCAGTACAAATAGTATGTTCATCGACCCACAAAGATCTCCAAACTGGACACACCTTCTTCTTCTCTAACTATAAAAAATCGACCTACAATAGATAACCAATATTCCAAGCCTATTAATTATTGTAACAACACCAGTTTACAGGAACAACTCGGTGATTAACATACTAGAAAAATTCCAGATTCAAAACCAAGAAAAAAGAAGAACAAGAACAAAAACAAGACTTTTTGAACGAGAAAGAAGAAAAACCAGAGAGTCAAAAGCCAAAAAATCCAAAAGACTAATCCACCGTATTCTCTAAAAACCCAAGGGTTAATAAAGTCTTGGAAGATCTCCACCGTCCATCAAATCCAACGGCTCACAAGTGAATAAAAGAAACACAAAGCCAAGTAATATTGTTTAGACCAATCATAGGTTGCCACCTCAGACATCTTAACTAATATTTAACACAATTACAAAATTGACCCGTTTAAGTTGCATTTTAGGAAAACACGTTTTTTTCCTTCAAATAGTTCACATAGAACAATACTAAGCTTGTGAATACAGTGTAGACTATGAACCAAAATTATTGTATCAAGAAAATATGGTTATTACAATGACAAATGTTATTACCTGAAAATGAAAAACGAAACCTTCTTTAAATTTTGATTACTACTCTGGAAACTAAGTGATGTTGTTCTCAGAGAAAACACATAAATAATAGTCATGTTTGGTATCTGATACTCAATAGGACTAAATTCCAAGATTGGTGAAAGCAAACAACAACATTGGAAGCAAAGTAGAACAATCTATCATCATAAAAAATGCCACAATTACTCCGAGAACCCTCTATCATGAAGAAAAATTATGAAATCCAATTGATGCACACCCTATTTTCATAATATTTTGTTCGAACTTTGATCGAATCAGTATAAATGTTAGAATTTGGGTGTGACCTAAATTCTTTGTTGGAAATAATTGAAAGTTCTAATTAAATTTCACATTAAAAAGAATTTTATTTGGAATGATTTTGAAATCCTATTCGAAATTTATTGAACAAATTCAAGTTGAAATTATATTTGAAAACTCTACTGAGAGTTGAAATTTGTATTGGACTTGAAGAGATCAAGATAGGAAAACTTTTGGCATTTTTTTTATCTACAACTCCAGTTCTAGGGCTTGGTTTGTTCCTTATATCAATTTGACACTCTTGTACAATTTAGTTAGGCAGTTTAACCTCATTATAAGTTAAACAAATTATAAGTACAAAATCTCTGTATTGCCTCTTCATATTATAATAAAATTTCAATTCTCTGAAAATAATTTTTTTTTTTATGATCAATTACTTCATATTGTGGCTATAATCTCTTATTTTCTCCAACAATTTGATATTGGATTAATCCGATGTCATCTATGTTTCATAACAAATTGGTATCAGATTTTTGGTTTTGAACTCTTGGAAAGATCGAGGTTTTTCATGATGACAACTATGAAGTATGATATACCGTTGTTGAATTGCAATACAAAATTCTCTTTGTGGCAGGTAAAGATGTGAGAATGTTCGCTCTAATGGATTTGGATGACGCATTGTTGGAATTTGACAAGATGCCCACAACTTGGACTACGAAGGAAAAACAACGGAGGGATTGAAAAACTCTATCTCAAAACAAAGATCTTTCAAACAATATTCCTTAGAACATTTTGAAGGAGAAGTCAGCCACTGTATTACAGTGCATGACGAAAAGTCTTATTAGCAAATTGCATCTAAAATAATGTTTATATTCTCATCATATGATAGAAGGAAAGGTAATCTCTAGAGGATTACCTAGCTACTTTTAAGGAAATCGTCTCTGATTTGGAGACCTTGGAAATCAAATACGATGAAAAAGATTTGAGATTGATTTTATTATATTCATTGCCTATTTCATACATGTCTGTTAGAGACACAATTTTTCACAATCGTCCATTAAATAAGTCTATGATGCTTTATATTCAAAGGAAAAGATGAAGCATCTTGTAGTATCTAATGATCATGGAGATAATCTCATTGTTGATAGTGGTCGCTCAAGGGGCAAGTCAAAATTTAACTTCAACTTTTGTAATTATTGCAAGAAAAAGAGGCACTTTATAAACGATTGTTACAAGTTACAGAATAAATCAAAAATTGACTATAAATGAACAATTAGAAACTTCAGAGAAAGCAAGTATGGTAAAAAATTCTAATAGTAATAGAGAGCTTTTACTTATGTTTAACTACAACTCTAAACTGAAGAGACTTTGATTATTGATACACCTTGCACTTTTCATATATCTCCCAATTGAAAATTGTTTTCAACATATTAAGAAGTTTTAAAAGATACTGTGATGACCGATAATAATATATCTTGTCTGATAGCTTGTATCAGCCAAGTCAGAACAAAGATTTTTGATGGGACGGTTAAAATACTTGATATAGTGAGATATGTTCTAGATCTGAAAAGAAATCTTATTTCTTTAAGTACTATTGATTCAAAAGACTACATGTATACTATTGAAGGAGGAATCCTGAAGGTTAATTAAGGAGCCTATGTTTTGTTAAAGAAACATAGAAAATTTCATTTATATATATTGCAGTATTATATAGAATCTTAGGTCAATCAGCATATTTTAAGAACCTAGGTGAATTTGGAGTTGGATTCTATAACGTTGGAGTCTAATTGAGGTTCCCCTTTAAAGAATATATCTCAATTTAATTTAAGGCTCTGTCTGAGCCGCATTCTTTCCAAAAAAATCATTTTTAAACATTGATTCGATATCATTTCAACCACACATTTTTCAATAAAATAATATTACATTTAAATCTAAAACTTTTTCTCATTTTTAACCACAAATTTTCTATCAATCTACTATTTCAAAATACATTCTTTCAAAAAAAATATGGCTCAAACACACACTAAATGGGTAAATCCGCTCAGCCACTATCATCGACGGTGTTATTGTATTCAGTTGCTAGTCATATACCCATTTTGGCCATAAAGACTTCACATAGGTACAATTTTGCTGATTTAGTTGATGGTTTGAATGCAGTTAAATGTGTTAATTCTAGCCAAGATCATTCTTTTCATACATTCAGTTGTGATTCTACTACAGGAATTGTTTCAGCTTTATTTGGTGGTCATTAGATCACTTTTGCCCCTAGTTAGAGAAGTAGAGGTGGAGAATATTTCAGTTGAAATTCACGTTCATTATAATGAAATTTGTGTCAAGGTGGAGATTGTTAGAATTTGGGTGTGACTTAAATTCTGTGTTGAAGATAATTAGGAGTTTTAATTAAAGTACTCATTAAGAAAAATTCTATTTGGAATACTTTTGGAATACTATTTGGCAAATCTAGTTGAAACTCTTTTTAGAAGCCCAAATGAAAGTTGAAATTTATGTTGGACTTGAAGATATCAAGATAAGAAAAATTTTGAACATTCTATTTCATCTACAACTCTACTTCTAAGATTTGGATTGTTTCCTATATATATTTGGCTATTCTCTACAATTTAGTTAGGTAGTTAGACAAATCATAAATACAAAATTTGTTTTATTTCTTCATATTATAATAAAATCTACATTCTCTGCAAATTTTTTTTTTCTTGTGATCGATTACTTCATATTGTGGCTATAATCTCTTATTTTTTTCTCCTACAATTTGGTATTGAATTAATTCGGTATCATTTTTACTTCACAACAATAAATATAGTCGATTTACTCATAAGGCTTATGCTAAATCATATTTTAGACAGTTATTTTATTATATTTGTGTTTGTACATGGTATTAGATATTGAACCATAATAAAACGGACACATTTATTAGGGAAAAGTTGAAACATTATATTTTGATAAATGAGAAACATTTCACAAAATTGCAAGTATTAGGTCACTCGAAAATTAAATATATACTTTTTAGAATATTATGAACTGATTTGATAGGTTCCCTAAATTAGAAGATTCATATAGAACTAATATGTGATTATTTGAAAATAGTTTATATCTTTTATATGTATCCCTACAATCTAAAAAATTAATTATTTTCTCTTAAATAAACAATGGTCGACGATATTAACAATTGAATCTATGCCAATTATGGATAGACATTGAAGTGACTAGAAGAAACGTTGAAGGTATGTTATGACTTCTATTGTGAGATGTGTGACTCCTATAACGTGTTTGTATGCCATTTTGTGATCTTGCATGAGCTGCTTAATAAAAAATAATTGTGACTTTGATCATTCTATGGTCATATAATTATGATCAATTCATATGGTTAGAATTTACTTAAAATGTGACAAACAACTATGACTCTGATAACTACTATCTCGTAGACTTGCGGCAACTTTGAGTGATGATTGTTTTTGTAGATGCAAATGGTTGTTAAATTTGACTGTCGTGATATTTGATGAGATGTTTAACGTACAATTATAGTTCGTATGAGTTGTATCTATTGCAAAGTTGTGACCACAAAATTTGTGACCTTTTTATTGAGTAAATAGAAACATAATTATTCTCTTAGTATCGATTCGGTCTCCTTTATATCCCTACTATATAAAAAGGAAAATGTGAAGTTACTGTAGAAATTAATAGTGACTTATTCTATTTTGTCTCATTGTAGTTTTTTTTTTTTTTTTAATTATAAGTGGAAGAGCAAAAGTATGTCGTTTGCCTTGCTTGATATATATTTTATTGTACAGTAAGAAAAAGCAATCTAAATTTACTGCAACACGCAACTTTTCAACTTTCCATACGCTTTATATATA